TTCCTTTTTCATTAATAAGAATTAGAATAAAGCAACAGTGAAAAAGACTACTTTTGACATGAAGCTACATTGGCAAGCCCATAGGCAGAGAGAGCAAACTAGGTATTCTGGCAGCTTAGCTTGCTCTTTGGTCCCAAGCCCAATGAAGGGATTAATAAAAAGGTTAAATATTAATCACTTCATATTTGTCATGGTTCTGGAACTGGCAAATATTAAGTGACAAATATTATCTAAATCAGCAATTTCTGATGAATATCACAATTTATGTTTTTATTTGTCCAGATTAATAAATTAAATATTAATCACTTCATATTTGTCATGGTTCTGGAACTGGCAAATATTAAGTGACAAATGTTATCTGAATCAGCAATTTCTGATGAATATCACAATTTATGTTTTTATTTGTCCCCATGTCTAGTCACAGATATGCCTAACCCATTTACTAAATGGCAGGGTGGATTTGATTTAAAACTGATTGATTTAAATCAAGGTTTACATTTTAAAATCAGATTTCTTGAATATTTAAATCAAAAATATCAATTTTTTATTTACATTGAGATTTAAATCAATTTGATTTTTTAAAAAAATGCTTTGAATTGCCCTGTTAAATGATAACAATACTGTGCTCAGGATTCAAATATTAAATTACTGTAACAGATGAAGAAGCACTGCTGTGCAGCTCTACAGTCATAAATGGTGGTGATATCATTGCTTTTAATTGCCCTGTTAAATAACGAATCCTGTGCTCAGGATTCAAATATTAAATGACTGTAACAGATGAAGATGCACTGCTGTGCAGGTCTACAGTCATAAATGGTGGTGATATCATTGGCCAAAGACACTAATCTTTAATTTAAAGTTTCTTGTCTATTTTCCTCTCCACCCAGGTTCCAAGGATCTCCATGGACCCTTCTGACCAGAGAAAACTTTTGAGAGCCCTGGGACAAGGGGTTGAGGCGTTCAGTATCTGAAAATCATTGCTGTCAGTTGCACTGCCAGTATTAAGACTGGCAGCAATTAATACTGCCAGTATTAAGACTGACCACATACAATTACATTAATGAGATGAGCTAAAGCAAAAAGTGAGTGGAGTTACACCCATCCTCTGTCTCTTCCCCACATATACACCTCTACATTCATTTATTCACAAGCCTATCCATTCATATTTGTTCTCTCTCTCACACAAACACACACACACTCCCGCAAATAATTGAATCAACAATGTGCAGTGCCCTGATTCTGCCTCACCAGCCCAAACAATTTTCATTTTGGCTGGCAAAGGAAGACTAAAGCACTCTGCTTTGACAGCCCCTTATAGATAGTCAGACTGACAAAGAAGCTCCTGTTCTCTTCCCACTCCCTCCAGGAATCACTTTCTTTACTGATCAAGCGGCCTCAAATTTCTCCATTTTTATTAAAGATTCAATTTTGTTTAATTATGAGGGGGGCACTTCTCTTCTTTGTGTCATCTTGGCTCCTTCTAACACTCATTTCAGAAAGGAAAAGAAGTCCAAAATTACAGATCAAAGTTTGTTCCATGACACCTGATTGTTTGAGTTCTTTTGGGTCAAGACATTCCTGCTCCCATGGCCAATTATGGCATACCACAGAATAATGTGCTTCATAGCACACCCATCGTCCTTTGGCCTTCCTTGTCTAGTGCAGCCATTCTCATCCTATTTTTGGCTCCAGCCTTTTTAGGAGCTCTTCTCAGGTTCCAGCGCCCCCCATCAAACAAAGAAAGCCTCAGGCTGTGTGCAAGCAAGGATACAACATGAACAGATGAATCTGTGACCCCCTCAAATGTGCTACAGCCAGAATATAATCTTCTCCGTACCCCCTACCTCATACATTCAGACAAAATAGCCTATTGATGTAAATGAAGTGTGAAGAAATTTAGCAAAAAATTTAGCATACTTTTTTGTATGTAATATTTAAGTACTGTAATATTTAAGCTATCTATCAGTTAATTAACAGGGCAGGGATTTTAAAGTCTATTTTTTTTTAATTTAAGTATTGCAGACTCCACCTACATGCTTATAAAGGAAGAAATACTGTACCTATTTGAATATGATCCCTGCTGTGATATGGGGGCATCATCCAAAGGAATGTATGGTTCTTCCAAACAATTGTTTTGTTCATATGCAGTTAAGTAGATTTAATTGAGTAAGGCTGCAATCCCTATGCACAATTACTTGTAAATCTCTTTGATCTCGGTAGGATGGTCTTCTGATTAAATATGTGCATGAGATTATCAATACTTGGAAAAGTTACTTTTTAGACTACAACAGCCAGAATTCTCCAGCTGGTATGGCTAGTGGGAGAAATTCAACGCCCACGGCCATTTCATGTGGCCCTTGCAGTGTTGCCTGCTACTGTACAGTACACAATACGTAGGCGCTTACTCGGTCACCCATAATGCTCCACAAGGATCCTGGGAATCTGCCCAGAGGGACTTCTAATCCCTGCATTCCAAGCAGTGAAGAGTCAGAAAGTGATAATTGAATGAAGAGGATTATATTTAATATGATAAAGAGTAGGTACATTTATATAGTCTTACAGATATAACCAACCCTTTGCGGGCAACCATAATGCCAATGCAGACCAAGAAAAAATTGAGTTTTACACCTCTGGGCTAGAGAGTGCCAGATGCAGCTCGCTACCAAACTCCTGGCTTCCCATTCTGCACAAAGGTAGCCTGTTCATTGAGCATGTAAATGAAAACAAATGGAGAGGAAGTCTTGCTCACCCCTGAAACAATTTCCTACATTTATTGTAGCAATTTAAAAAGCTATTTGCAACAGAGCTCAACCAGAAAAGATAGGCAATAATTTTGCTTTCTTCTGCACATCTCCTTCTGCGCATTTCTAGATAGGAGATTTTGTACGGTAATGGTCTTTCCACTTTTGCCCCTATGTGGGTTGGAGACAACCAACCACAAAGTTAATAAGTGAGAAGTGAAACTACAGCTTGCAGGAAAAGTGAGATGTCCCAGTCCAATAGTTGTTAAGGAAAGAGAGAAAATTAAATACTGTAAACAGATTACATAGTTTCACGCTAGAACAGCAGTTATATACTGTAGCTGTTAAATTTTGGTACATTGGTGTTAATTGCCATCTAGTGGCTATGACTGAGAATAACTTCAAAAAAAAAAGTAAAGTAAAGAAAAGAAAAAAGAAAAGAAACCTAAGGGATTTATTTTCTCATCTGATAGTTAAATATGGTGATTAATCATGTAAAGGCACAATTTGGAATAGTTACTTTTCTTTGGACTATAAATCCCATAATCTCCATGCCATCATCATGGCCCCTTTTCCAAGCTCTGTTGATGCAATCCTTATTAGAGTTGATTCAAGTACAGATACTGTAGTTGCAGAGGGGCAGAATGCAGGCACACTTCACACTAAACACCATGAAAATGAGTCGGATGGACTTCAGAGTCAAAATGCCTATGATCAAACTATAAATTTATTTATTTATTGCATTTGTACCCTGCACTCAAATAACTCATAGTTACAATTACTTATTGAATAAGCAAACATATTTTGAATGAACTACAAAGATATAGGTCAGCTGGCTATCACAATAAAAAATAAAATAAAATAAAAATACTGTTGGATCACTCTAGTCTTAGACTACAATTCTATATTCACTTCCTAAGAGTAAGTTGCACTTAGATCAGTGGGACCTATTTCTGAGTGGGTATGTACACAATTCTTGCTGACAAAGGTCTGCATAGTCAAAGCTATGTTTTTTCCAGTAGCGATGTATGGAAGTGAGAGCTGGACCATAAAGAAGGCTGACCACCAAAGAATTGATGCTTTTGAACTGTGGTGCTGGAGGAGACTCTTGAGAGTCCCCTGGACTACAAGGAGAACAAATGTATCCATTCTGAAGGAAATCAATCCTGAGTGCTCACTGGAAGGACAGATCCTGAAGCTGAGGCTCCAATACTTTGGCCATCTCATGAGAAGAGAAGACTCCCTGGAAAAGATCCTGGTGTGGGGAAAGAGTGAAAGCAGGAGGAGAATGGGAAGACAGAGGACAAGATGGACAGTGTCACTGAAGCTACCAGCATGAATTTGACCAAACTCTGGGAGGCAGTGGAAGACAGGAGGGCCTGACGTGCTCTGGTCCATGGGGTCATGAAAGTTGGACATAACTTAACTAAACAACAACAATGTATACAATTACACTTGCTATAGGCCTCTGTCTTATAGCAACTGCTAAAGAAACTGTAAGTTTTGCCAGGATTCCTACACCTGATCTTAGGCTGCAGCAGCCCCCATTTTGCAACTTTTCACTTTTGACAGAGGAGCCTAGCCGATTCATGATTGTTGGGAGGATCATGATTTTTTTTCTATGCCACCCCTAGTCTGAAGAAGTATGGGGTCAGAAGCTTTCACGTGCATGTGATTTTTTTAAAAAAAGTGGTCTAATGAAGGCATTGCTTACTCTTGGCTTAGGAGCGAACTGAACAGCTCCCCTTGGGGGCGGTCCGCATTGTTCACTCTTGGCTTAGGAGAGAACTGAACAGCTCCCCTTGGGGGCGGTCCCCGGAGGAAGCCTGAAAATCTCAAAAATTGTATTTATGTGTATGTTGATGTTTAGGTTATTAGTGATGGTATATTGTAATTTTGATTTTTATCAACCATTCTGATTGATTTTTATTTACTGTTATTGTTTTATTGTGTTGTAAACCACCCAGAGTGGCCTTGTAGCCAGAAGGGCATTGTTAAAGTAAAATCAGTCAATCAATCCCCAAAGTAACTTCAGGGAGTCGTTCCTAAGAAACGCTCCTCTACTGTCTTAGAGTTAGATTCTAACTTGACAACATTAAGGGACTTCTCCAAACTAGGCGCTCCGCTAATGGGGCGTTTGATCCCCAATTCCCAACTACTGAAAACAAAACGAAAAGCCCTGACAAGGACTTTTTTTTCTTGTCGGAGGACATTAAGTCTCACCTTCCGGCCTCCCCTTTAAGCACCGGACGCCGTTACTAGGGCGGCCGGAGAAGCGGGCAAACTGAATTGCTCGGGCGGCAACAATCGTGACGGCGCTTGGTTCCGCTTCGGTTCTCCCGCCGTCATGGCGTTTGCTTGCTTGGTAAGGGTAGGAAGGGGGTGGTGGTGGAAGGAATGAGAATATTGTATTTTCTGGGCTCCGACATCTCTCTGGAGCCGGTTTTGGCTGGGTGGCTTCGGCGAGAGTCCAGAAACGCGTTAGTGTCACGGGTTGGGGGAGGAAAGTAATTTGGGAATGGGCAGGCGAGAAGGAGCTCAGGTGGAAAACCCGGACGGGACGGGACGGGAGGGGCAAAGGTGGCCTGGGGGGCAGCTTTTGGGTCGGAAGAGCCGAATAGTAGTGGTGGCCCAAAACAGGAACGTTTGCGATTTCCACCTTCTGTGAGTCGGGGGGACGGGATCAAAATCAGATCTTTTTCCTGTTAAGCGTTCTTTCCTTCTCTTCCATATATATATAAAAGATGAGTGGGAGATGAAGATGTTGCTGGGCATGATGTAAAAAACTCAGTGTGTGGCGATACTGTACAGTATTAAGCTGCCATGCAGGACTTAATGAGATTAGGTTGTGTTTGCAGCCATAATAGCAGATGCCCTTTTAAGACTCGGAGATTTGCCCCTTTCTGGCTACAGGGAACGGGTAGGTGAAGATTTCTTTTCTGCTGGGAAGAGCTTCACCTGGTGAATTTCTGCCACTTAGGTTTCTACCTGTCAAATACACAGGAGCCCTTTGGGGAGGAAATCCAAATTGTACCAACATGTTGCCATAGGTCATCAAAAACTGGGGGAGGAACAAAGTTTTATTTAAATGATGTTGCTTAGTTACTGGGACATCTCTGCTACTTTCCCAATTTTGTAAAGTACCAAAGCGTAGGGTGGCCAGATGGTGCCCAGTAAGTTCCTCCACCTTTTTAACATTAGACACGAGAGGTACAGAAGCTCGCTCTCTTCTTGTGCATATGGCCACCTTGCAGTTGCATGACAGGGAGCACAGCAACTCTAAAATCAAAGATGTTAGGGATCCTTCAGCATATCAGATTAGTATGTGTTGACAGTTGCATTCTGGAGAGAGCCAAACTGAAGTGTAGTGTCAGAAACATGAGACTCTGTATTCCAGGAAAGAAATTATTGTTTTGTACACTTGGCCTTTGGGATGTGTAGGGAGAATGTCTGTTTTGCAGGGATTGAATGCTGTGATGGTGATTCCTGAAAACATTTTGTATAGTTGATCACTGCAGTTTTCATATTCTTCTGAGGCATACTATAATCTTCAAACTCTTTACCTACAAGTAAATTTTACTCAAATACTGTATAAGTATGATTGCAGTTGAGTTTCCAATTAACTTCCAATGGTGAGGATTGTGACATGAGAGCTATATCCAATGATACATTGTGAGAAGCCAGTGTGATGTCTTACGCACTTGTGGTTGAAAATGCTGTGTACAAGTGTGTTGTGGCATAACTTGTATTCTCTATGTTGCATTAATGATACTGGAAACTTTCCAGTTCTCAAACTTCATCTAAAAATCAGGTTTAAAAAATCTCTGATACTCACTCCACACCACAATTGCCTTGCAGTTCTTTAGTGCTAAAATAGAAAATTGAGCACTTTTAACAGTTTGTTAGTGCCAACTTTACTTCATTTTTAAAAATATATATATTTTGTGGACGAGAACACTCCCAAACTACTGACTTGATGTAAAAGAATTTGAATTGGTTTTATAGAGTTTCCTTTCTTAAATGAACACTGGACCATAGCTGTACAGTATATGTTCTGTGCTAGAAATAAAAATGCAAGGCACTGAAACTGCTGAAACTGTTAAGCCTAGGCGACTCATTACTGTTTTGTGTATGGGAGTGTCTCTTCAGAGTTGGGAGGTTAATTCTCCTCCCCCTACATGATCTACAGGGATTGACTACATTTCAAATTACAATGTTTGTAACAACTAGGAATGGAAAAATGATATTAAAATGAATGCTGACTTGGTTAAGAAACCAAATTTTACTCCCCAGAATTTTGCACACTTTATATGCATAGCTGTGTACTCAGATATTTGACTTAGAAGTACTGTATAGTCAGAATTCTGTAGTTTGAAATCATACTGTTTGTACTAAAAAGGTTTCTGAATTAGTTACATAGTTGATCTTCACGATGCCAGCTGTATAACTTTAGTAAAACTGTTGGTTTTACATGGTCACCATGCACAGTTGATCCATGTTTGTACTTGGTACGTAGCCTTTGTCTTTCTACAATTCCTAAAGATATATATTAAAGGTAATTGAATGTTTAATTTTGGTGGAAATGACTGCACTGTTCTTGTAAAACAACACAATTCTGCCTTATTCCCAGTTTTGAATATTCTGAAGTTGTTAAATTTCACAGTTGATTTAATGAAAAATGTATTTTATTGTATAAAGATTGTATATGGTCATTAGTTGTTACAGTTGTAACTTTTAATACATTGAATTCATAAATTAATATGCATTAATGGCTATATTTATGCTCCTATTAATCATATACCTGGTATGATACATTTGTATATGACTGAAGAACAAAATGATTTTTTTAATCCCATAGGAAGATCCAACATTAGAGAGGCATTTTAAAGGCCACCGAGATGCAGTAACTAGTGTGGATTTCAGTCTAAATAAGAAACAGCTTGGTAAGTTACCAACTTAACATCATTTTCTTCCAGTTTCTCTTACATAGGGCAAAATCCACGAAAATTATCTCTACGCTGTTCAAAAGTCATTGTTAAAATTCTGATTGAGAAGTATAAGCTGTGCATCCTTCAAAGCTGAATCATTTTAGGAATCTCTATAAAGAGCTCTTCAGATTTTAGCTCCTGTCAGTCAGCATGGCCAATGAGGCAGGGATTATGAGAGCTGTAGTCCCTCAACATCTGGAGTTCAGAAGAGCATCCACTGGTAATAATAAAGAATGTTTTGTCCTAATGCAAGCTTTTTGGTATCATCCTCATTTTTGAGGTTTGGTAATCTGTTATGCCCCACCCACATGTCATTTGCCATCAATTTCAAGCCTTGCAGTGTTAAGTTCATAATTTAAAATTAAAAATAAACACGAAACACAGTAAACAGCATTGTAAATTTAAAATAAGCATATATAGTGAAAATGTGCTTGTTACACTTTCTTTCCTTAATTATGGCCTTGAAATATCCATATAAAATAAATTGATATAACAAATGTTTATTTAGGACATTATTACCAATATTTATATTCCACTGGTAAAGTGTAGAAGAATGTTTTCTTATAAATGTCTCGCCACTGTTGTATCATCACTATTAGAAACCGTTGTAATTACACAACACTGTGCAAGTTTTCAGGTTCTCCAGATCTCTTCTTGATGCTAGGTGACAAAATAGTATAAAACACAATATTGTGGATTTATAATTGCTCCTAAAGATATTATCTCCTGCATATTTTGGACCTCATTTTGTTCTGGCTACTTTTGTTTTTGTTATAGAAGTGACTCAGATGGCTGCAAAGAGAGTGCAAATTCCTCAGAATGCTTTATCAGGGGAGTGAGGAAGCAGACAGGCACCCTTTTCACTGGCCAACAGTTAACTGAAAGTTCATATTTTGCACTTTCCCTGCCTCCCACGTGGTTTTTTTCAGTTCTTAACTCAAATCTAAGTATGTAAGTCAAGTCAATATTTTCCTATGAGAGTGGTTCTTAAGTCAAAATGTTCTTAACTCGAGCCGTTCTTAAGTCAAGACCCCACTGTATTACCAATATTTACAGTATATTCCACTGGTAAAGTGTAGAAGAATGTTTTCTTATAAATGTCTCGCCACTGTTGTATCATCACTATTAGAACCAGTTGTAATTACACAACACTGTGCAAGTTTTCAGGTTCTCCAGATCTCTTCTTGATGCTAGGTGACAAAATAGTATAAAACACAATATTGTGGATTTATAATTGCTCCTAAAGATATTATCTCCTGCATATTTTGGACCTCATTTTGTTCTGGCTACTTTTGTTTTTGTTATAGAAGTGACTCAGATGGCTGCAAAGAGAGTGCAAATTCCTCAGAATGCTTTATCAGGCAAGAAATGGGAGGGATGCCATTGTTCCCCAAGGTTGAAAATGCTTCTCTGCTTTTCAGCTTGCTCTGCCTAATTTATTTGTGAAATGAAAGTGCCGTATTTAAAAAAACTGAATGCATCAATGACTCATGTTTGGGTCCAAGTGGATCAGGCTCTGCAATTAAAAACATTTCAGTCATGTAAGGAGCCTATAAGGGTTAGTGAACTGAAACTTGGAAAATTCAAGTTGGAGTCTTCATTGAGCCACCATGTGTGCTAGCCTGATCTACCTCACAGGGTTGTATGTAGGATAAAGTTGGCAGGAGCAGAGCCATGTATTTTCTTGGGTTTGATGAAGAAAGAGATAAAAATAAAGATAATTAAACATAAACAATTAAGGAAGTGTCAATAGGTCATAGAGAAGTTGCCACTTTGCCTTCCCTAAAAATCAGATCTTCGTTTGCCTGCCTCTTTTAGTCCTCCATCAAAATCCCTTCGTTTTTCCTGAGCACAAACCTCTGTACATCCTCCAGTTCCTCAGATTAACTGTGGCAGCACCCTGTGGCTACAAATCCTCTCTGGGGATCTGAGTTACTAATGGGGAGGAAAAGGGGAAAGTGAGGAAAAGCAGGCCTCGCTGTGCTGTCTCTTACATACTTGCACTGACCCCCCCTCCACTACTAGAGGAGGCCATGTACTGCCTTCCTGTGCTTTTTATGCCAGAGCTTGGTGTTTGTTGAGATTGCCTGTAGCGGTGGTGGTGGTTGGGATGGTTCGCAAGTGGTGCTAGCATCCACATGCAAGCAGTAAGTGGCCAGGACCTTTGCTCCTCTCTCCACATCTTTATTTCCACCTCCTTTGAAATGCATTTGTGCCTTTCTAGGAGGGTGTCTCCCTGTGTTTGGGAAACTTTAGTCTGTCTAGATGTTAGGCAAATGTATGGCATAGACTGCGATTAGGACTGAAGCCTTAGCAAGAGTACTTTCCCCAATTAAAGTTGAGACATTGAAAAAGATAAAAACGAACTACAGAGAATTTGGAATGGAGGAAACAGAGACAAGAGAAAATGCTGTTGTTGTTGTTGTTGTGTTGCACTTCTCCCAACAAGGGACCCGAAGTCGCTCACAACATTAAAATTCACACAATTTAAAAATACAATAAGTTAAATATTAAAAGATAAATTAAACAATATATGATTTAAAATACAATTAAAAGATTAGAACATGGAAATATAAGGAAGATTAGAATTATGTGATAAATTATAGAATGAATTATATGATTAAATGATAGAATTATAAATGTCTGTCTAACTTGGAGGAAAGTGCATTTCAAACATTTGTGAGGTATTAATATGTCTATGAGGGTCTCTAAAAGCAATGAAAAGCAATAGATGGCAGTAAAGGCAATTTAAACTGAGTACTGTACAATGCTTTCCTCCTGCAAGTGGAATCTGGTTATGGAATGACTTTGTTGCTTATAATTCTTCAGTTTGTTTCCCTAGCTGTTTTAAAGAAAAAATGCTGAGAGGCATATATTATTTTGAATGGAGTTCTGTTATTGCCAGCAGTTGAAACGGACTATGTGTTTGCTATTGTATTTCTTTCATTAAAGAATACAGCTTTCTTTTGAAAGAAGAAAAGAAAATTTCAGGCTGGATATTTGTACAGCTGCCAACTGTATGATTTGTTTCCAGAGTAATTTTAAAAATGTAATGAGTGTCTTCATTTATTTAATCTAGTAAGTGGCTCTATGGATTCTTGTTTGATGATCTGGAGCATGAAACCTCAGATGAGAGCCTATCGCTTTGTGGGTCACAAAGATGCAGTAATGTGTGTGCATTTTTCACCATCTGGCCATTTGATTGCTTCCGGTTCTAGAGATAAAACCGTTCGCTTATGGGTTCCAAGTGTGTAAGTATCTGCTGATGTTCCCCACTTCCCACTCCACTTCCATTTTTCTAAATATATACAGTGGTGCCTCACACAACGATGTTAATTGGTTCCAAAAAAATCAACGTTGTGTGATACATCGTTCTGTGAAACACCATTTCCCATAGGAATGCATTGAAAACCGGTTAATCCGTTCCAATTGGAACGGATTGCCATCGCTGAGTGAAAACCCCATAGGAAACATCGCTGTGTGAAACAATGTTTCCTTCATTGGAATGTATTGAAGCCGACTCAATACATTTCAATGGCTTTGCGAAGTCCTTTTTCGCTCCTGTAAAAGTGTCTTACAATGTTTGGAAGCTGTTTTAAATGATTGCAATGGTTAGTCCACCTCCTGAAACCTAAGCAAACTGATTTTGGTGTTGTTCTGATTCTTCGTTAATTTATGGTAATTTTTTGTTTTCTCCATTGAAAACCATTGGATGGTCTGTCTAATGGTTTCCAATGGAGAAAACAAAAAATCATCATAAATTAACGAAGTGTCAGAACAACACGAAAATCAGTTTGCATAGGTTTCAGGAGGTGGGCTAACCATTGCAATCATTTAAAACAGCTTCCAAACATTGTAAGACACTTTTACAGGAGCGAAAAGGGAGATCGTTGTGTGAAAATCCCCCATAGGAAACATCGCTGTGTGAGGCGGCAAATTTAACAGAAAAAGGCATCGTTGTGTGAATTCATCGTTGTGTGAGGCACCCGTTGTGCGAGGCACCACTGTATATATATTTATAGGTTTTTTTCACTTCTTGAATACTCCAAGATCTGGAATAATTTTTAGAATGAGTTCAATTGAAGATGGTTGCTTATTATCCTTTGAGGCAGAAACTGTTTTTCCCCATCACGTCTACAATATGTTTTCATCAATGAACATAAAGAGAACAATGTCGAAAGGCTTGTTTCTTTTCATACTGGAGAGGGTGGGCTGAAGAAGCTGTTTGCCTCTATGGCTTAGCTGGTGCACAGTCAGTTTATAGATTTTGTAGCCAAAATCCTGTTGCTTAGCATAGTAAATCTCACTAGAATAGACCCATTGAATCAATGGGGGTTTGGTGAACCACTCCTCCACAAGTTCTCTTGATTCAAATTGGTATATATGCCTCCCTTCAACAATGCTGGAGTTAGGGGCACTGGACCCAAAGTCTGTATATAACTCTTACACCCTCAAAAATGTAACTACAAAGCACCAACATTTGATTAACACACATGCACAAACAGAGAGAACAGAGGTGCCAAGTCTCTTTAAAGGCAACTAAAGGATAGAAAAAGCTTCTGTCAGAAGGGGGAAACGGAGGTGTGATCTTCCTTCCTTCCTTCCCCTCCCCTTCCGCCATCCCAGCAGAACAGCATGCTGCTGTGATCTCCCCTAACCTACATCATCCTCTTGGTATACCCCAACTCTCTTCAGCCACCATGAGGAGCTGCTATACCAGTTGATGGGGCTATCCTTGAGACTACCATATTGCTGACAACAGGGGCCTTGGTAAGTCCAAGACCCACCTTTCTCAGGCCTCTTCCTGAAGATGAATAGCAGCAGAGCATTTATTAAATATTCATTTATTGGGAAAAAATTATTGAAAAAAATCATGTATAACCAAAATCACCCTGCTTAGATCTGTGCAGTTCAAGGGAGAAGTGTACTCTGACTGCAACCTACCTTAGTATAGTAGGTCACAGTTAAAGTTTACAGGACCTTTACCTGACTAAGGTAAAGGCTGCATGTAGATCATTCTTCGCTAACCGGATAAGCGAAGCGTCCAA